AAATTTAAACTCAAATATTTTCACCCAATTTTATACATTTAAATTAATTTTTTTTTCGGAAACTGTTTTATTTACAAGAACTGTCAAATGACAGTTTTGGCAAAATGGCGACTATTTTAAAATAGTTGATAAATTTATGTGTTTTATTATAAAAAAATCTGGTTTAATTTATTAATTATTATAATAATTCTCAAAGTATTCGAAACTTATATAGCATACTTTATTCAACTCCATTTTTTCAAATCTAATAATTACTATTTGGAACTGTCAAAATCATATGACAGTTAAGTTTGAAATTTCTTTAACATTATTTTAACAAAAGAATTCATTTTGCAAAAGAATAAAGAAGTTTGGTGATTTTTTAAAATTATTTTAAATCTTTTAATAAATATCATTTGAAACTTTCATATGACAGTTGTTTTAAAAACAGATTTAGTTTAAAATATTTTAAACTATTAAGAATGTGCAAAATTCTTTTTGTGCCATATTTGAGTTGTTGGTTTCAAATTTGAATGACCAGACAATTGGATTTTATTATATATACTTAAAACTATTTATATATTATATATATAAAATTACCATTTAAAACTTAATAAACTATAATATATCGTACAAGAAAATAAATTAATTTGTCAGTAACTTAATTAATGAAATGAGCTCTTGTTGCTTTTAAACACAATAAATAATTTTAGTAAGATTAGTTTATAATCCTGAACTTGTTTTTTAAATTGTTCACTCAGAAAATTCTCCAGATCTCAAAAAGAAAATCTAAAAATCATATTTCATTTACCATTGTATTATAAACAACAGAATTTTATTTCTATTTCCCTAAAATATACTCAAATACAATAATTAATTACATTTCAACTAATATGTTTGTATGTGATAATTTCAATGGATATTGCTTCTAATGCTTATTAAAATAAATTGATATTTGTCTTAAATCATTATTACTAAATACATATACCATTTTATTTTAAATTGTGATAAAACAATACATATTTAGTGTGTAAGAAAAAATTATGATAGCAGTGTTTAGTCCATATAAAAATTTGTAATTGTTTGATCTTTAATTAAAATTATAATAGTAATAGAAACATAAAATGAATTAAATATAAATATTTTTATTTACAAATTGCAATTATCACTTGTTAATGATAAAGTGATTTAATTTAAAATTTGCTATTTTCAAATTTATTTAAACAAACAAACGTCTTTCAAAAACTGTAAATTAACTATTTTATCTACTTTAATTATAAATTTATATAATTTATATTTATATAAATATATAAATTTATGTTACATTTTATATCAAGTAGTATTAAATAATTTTAATAAAGATCAAGTAATTTTAATAAACAATAATAACGCAAACAATATTCTTAATATAATAATAAAATTAATAGTTTCTGTATCCGACTTGTATGAAATACATATAAATATTTTCAACACAACTATTTTGATTGCTTCACTAATCATAATAATAATTTTTATTAACTTAGTAAATTTAAATTGATACAATTGCGTTTTTGTTATCTACGTCTTAAAATTTTAAATCTATTTTTTTTTAAATTAATTTAGTTTGATAATTAAATCATATTGTATATATATATATATATATATATATATAATATATATATATATATATACATAAACCACTAGAAAACTTAACATTGTGTTATAATTTTTAACAATTTAATAATAAATAGATTTTTTTTATAATTTATAATTAACTTCCCGTAGGGTAAGTTATAGTAATCGTCCAAAAATCGAAATCAAAAATTTTTACATTTCTCGACGTTTTGAAGGTTTCTGAACATTTTGGCATACTTCAGAAAAATGGATGTGTGTGTGTGTGTGTGTGTGTGTGTGTGTGTGTTTTGTATGTCCGCTTTTTTTCGTCCACGTTTTTCGGGCGCACGGATCAACCGATTTGAATGGTTTAAAAAACATTCGATTCCTATTGATAGGGAGATGTGCTGATTAGTTTTTGGCAAAGGCAGGTCCAGCCGTTACGGAGATATGGAGCAAAGAGTGCAAAATAGAAAGCGAATTTTTGAGAGAACGGATCAACCGATTTGAATGTTTAAAAAACACTCGATTCCTATTGATAGGGAGATGTGCTGATTAGTTTTTGGCAAAGGTAAGGCCCAGAGGTTTCGGAGTTACAGAGCTAAATTTAAAAAAAATGGCTGTTTTTGAGAGAACTAAGCGTCCGATTTAAATGATTCAAAGAACTTTCTGCTTTTTTCAACAAACAATTGATTTTGGAAAAAAAAATTTTGTTTCTAATTTTTTTTTCAAAAAAATTTTTTTGTAATTTTGGACTAAAAATTCAAAAAATCACCCAAGCTAAGCACAGTCTAAGCGCCACTCTGGTACAAATGTTTACCCCAAGTGCGTTTAGACTGTTTGTGTACTGGAGCACTTTTCCAATTTTGTGAAAATTATTGAAAAATGTGAAAATGCCGCCAAGCTGAGCACAGTATAAGTGAAATATCGCACAGAATTATTTGCAAATGCGTTTAGACTGTGACTATGCGGGAGCACTTTTTCAATTTTGTGGAAATTTGGCAACTATTTTTTTTTTTTGAAATTTGATTCGAAATGAAATGACGATTGTTAATGTTCTGGAGGTGATAAATTGATTTATTTATAATTAACTTTCCGTAGGGTAAGTTATAGTAATCGCACAAAAATCGAAAATGAAAATTTTTATATATCTTTACGTTTCAAAGGTTTCTGAATATATTGGCATACCTTAGAGAAAATTGATGTATGTGTGTGTATGTGTGTGTGTGCGTGCATTTGTGTGTTTCAGATACAAATTTTCGTCGACGATTTCGGGAATCGGGATGAAGCAATTTGAATAATTCAAAAACATTTTACTTGCATTATCAAGATGAAGATTTGATCAAATTTTCATGAAAATAGGTCTAGCGGTTTCGGAGATCTAGTAAAAAAAGTAAAAAAAAAATAACATTTGGCGGTCAACAATAATCATTAGACATTAGACATATGCCACATCAAATTATCAGATATTTTATAGAGATTTTAACAATGAGTATACATTTTGTTAACATTCCTATGGGTTCCGTACCAATGCTTATGCGTTAGACAGCGACGCGGCGCTTACGCGCTTCGATATTTAGTCTCTATGCATTAAAGCAGTACGATTGCTTTGAAAAAAAGTTCAAAATTTCCAAATATTTCAAAATAAATTTTTCAACAAAAACTTTTGTCAAAAATTTATATAGTTCCTCAAAAATCTATTTTTTTAGAGTAAATTTTTTTAAAAAATGTTAATTAAAGTTAAAAAAAAATTAAGTTAAAAAAAAATTTTTTGGTACGGGAAGTTCCAGCAATTTGCCTTAAGGCACGATGCCATGCGCCCCACTAGTTTTTTTATCGAAAGGGTTAAAGTGTTTACAAAAGTCGAAGAATTTATGTTTTACTCATATAATTTATAAATTCTAAATGAATAAGTATGCTTACCAAAAAATTGATATTGTATTTTATTAATGATTTTATAAAAAAAAAACAAAACTTTGGATACAAACGTTAGGACAAATTAAATATTGCACCAGCGATAACATTCCACATGGTTTTTTCTGCTATTTGACATCTGCAAAAAATTTAAAAAATTGTAATAAACATCAAATTTATTATATATATATATTATATATATATATATATATATATATATATACTAGCGAACCCGACAAACTCCATTTCGCCACCAGATGAAGAAATTTTTTGTTTGTTTTATATTTGAAAAGAAAAAATGTGATTTTATTATACAACAGTAATGAATTTATTTCGATTACAAAAATGAAGTGTTTTTAGTTGAACTTCTCTAAGTAAATAAAAAGTGAATCCGCAAATTAACCGTTTCATTGAAGTGCTCTTTGGTAAACCACATTTTTTGTTTTTTGGTCTGACGTTAACACAAACAAAGCGGATGGTTTTCCAACTCGTGAACAGGCAACGTTTAACGGCCCATGTGAAAAACAATGATTCTCTAAATAATCTATTACAAATTTATCCCGCAAACACTAAGCAATTGGCCTTGCGACTTGTTATTGTGAACGCAAGGTGAACTGGAAATTGCAATCGTTTGAAGTCAAACGGAAGGCCAGTCGGAATCATTGGTATGTCACAAAATCGCTAGCAATTGATTGAATGGTGAAATTCAGTGCGTGTACATCATTATTCTTTGCGGCAAGAATTGCTCGTTGACTTAACCAAGCATAATTCTGATAATTCTCACTAATGCCATTACTCGAATTTTTAATTACGGTGCGTGAAGTTCCAGCAGCTTGCATTAAGGCACTATGCCATGCACCACTCATTTTCTTAGCTATAAACCTTGCGGAGCCCGAGACCTTTTCAACGAATGCAAAATTGTCGAAATCGGTTCGTGCGTTCTGGAGGTATTTCGTCAGGAAGGAAAACCCGACTTATTTTTATTTATATAGAAGATATATATATATATATATATATATATATATATATAATTTTCCCTCACCAAATCGTGTATTGGATATGACAATGGGCTCTCCGGCTGCATCGTCTGCAGGAACCCCAAGCAGACACTTTGGAGGATTATTATAATCGAAAGGCAGTAACTGCTGATTGAATTTGTTATATTTGTCACGACGACTGCTGAATTGCTGCTGCGGATGCTGTTTGCTGTTGCGCTGCTGCGAAACCTAAATAGAAAAAAATAGTAAGAAAATTATAATATTAACAAATTATGATCTCTGATCTTTTGCCTAGTTATTTTTATGTTATCTTTAGTTTCTTTACTATTATATTATTGCTCGGAAATAGATTTGCTAAGGAGCATCATATCTCCTAATCCGTTTCTCATAAATTGTTAATAATTTCTGCTAATTGTTTTGCATATATCGGGGTCACCAATGTGGAAATTAATTAATTAAAAATAAATTTTAGTGTAGATTTAAAAAAAAATGTCTTACAGATGTATCAATTACAATTGTCGAGACATAATGACTAATGTTTTACAGCATAATATACTACATATATTACGGAATACAATTATTTATTATTAAATGTTTAATATTATTAACTTTCCGTAGGGTAGTTATAGTAATGGGCCAAAAATCGAAAATAAAAAATTTTGCATTTGAAAGTTTTGAAGGTTTCTGAACATTTTTAAGGGGCATACCTCAGAAGAAATGGATGTGTGTGTGCGTGTGTGTGTTTTGTATGTCCGCATTATTTCGTCCACGTTTTCGTGCGCACGGATCAACTGATTTGAATAGTTCAAAAAACATTCGATTCCTATTAATAGGGAGATGTGCTGATTAGTTTTTGGCAAAGGCAGGTCCAGCCGTTACGGAGATATGAAGCAAGGAGTGCAGAAAATAGAAATCGAGTTTTTGAGAGAACGGATCATTCGATTTGTATGATCCAAAAAACATTCAGTTCGTAATGACGGGGAAAAGTGGTTATTAGTTTTTTGCAAAGGTAGGCCCAGCGGTTTAGGAGATACAGAGCTAAATATTAAAAAAATGGCAGATTCAAAGAACTTTCTGCTTGTTCCAACAAAATAATTGCTTTTGGAAAAAAAAATTTGTTCCCAATATCTTTTTTCAAAAAATATTTTTGTAATTTTTGATTGAAAATTCAAAAAATTTACCCAGGCTAAGCACAGTCTAAGCGCCACTCTGGTACAAATGTTTACCCAAGTGCGTTTAGACTGTTTATGTACTTGAGCGATTTTCCAATTTTGTGAAAACTATTGAAAAAGTATAAATGAAAATGTCGCATAGAATTATTTGCAAATGCGTTTAGACTGTGACTATACGGGAGCGATTTTTCAATTTTGTATAAATCAGGCAACTATATTTTTTTTTTGAATTTGAATTTGAAATGAAATGACGATTGTTAATGTACCGGCGATAAATTGATTTATGATTTACATTTGATTTTCTCAGATATAACAAGATAGCAAAAATAATGGGAGTTACAGTATTCGTAATAATATATTTGAAAACGTTCAAAATTTCTCGAATATTTCATTACGACCTGCCTTTGACTAATCAGCACATCTCCCTATTAATACGAATCGAATGTTTTTTGAACCATTCAAATCGGTTGATCTGTGCGCCCGAAAACGTGGACGAAGAAATGTGGACATACAAAACACACACACACACACATACACACTTATCCATTTTTTCTGATTGTGACATATGCCAAAATGTTCAGAAACCTTCAAAACATGGAGAAATGCAAAAATTTTCATTTTCGATTTTCGGCCCATTACTATAACTGCCATACGGGAAGTTAATAAATAATCATATAAAATTTATTTCCTATATAAGTGTGCATCCTCTTACTTTCGATAGATGCCTGCTGTTCCCTCCTCTGTTGTTGCAGCAGCTGACCAAGCCCTCCGCCAATGCCCTCCGCGAATTGGCGGCCGCCCCGGAGGCCACCAGGCTGGTCGTCGCCGGAACCCGACACGGAGCCCCTGTTCCGGTCGCGGGATATCTCGCGCACAGTGATGGAGCACGCCCCCGGCTCGCAACGACAACCATCTGCAGAGGGAAAAGGACAATTATAACCAGTCGGTATTGGTATTTTGCCTTGAGGCAAGTTACATGAACTTCCCGATATGTGTAAATAATCGACTTAATTGATGATAGATAAATTAATTTATGAGTCGATTTATCTGTACAATTATGTTCTGATTTAAGCTTTGCAATAATTCTATAGACTGTCCTCTTATTCTTAACCAACTATCCTTTAATGTTCCAAGGCGTTCTACGCGTTCACAATTATTTTTCAATTATCCTACTCATAAATCTAATTCTCTCTTAAATTCGCCAATTTTACTTATGTCCTCTAACTTTAACTTAATTAATAATGAAATTGATAGTCACAACACTTCACCTAATCAAATAATCTCCATCTGCACAAGTTAATCTTTTCATTTTTTTTCAAATATCTCATTATTTTCTTATTATGTTTATAAATATTATTGTTACATTCTGCATTATATGTAATTTTATCTTAAGCATTTTATGTTACAAACTATATATTGTAATTTTGTATATATTTTAATTGTTATTCATTATGTAAAATAATTGTATTTTTGAGTCCTCTTGGAGAAATCTGTGGGCTATATATTTAAATAAATAAATAAATAAATAAAAGTATTCCGAGTGGATTTATTACACACAATTGAAAACGAACGAACAGGTTGACTCGGAGTATTTTCTAAAAGCAACTTTTGAAAAATTAACAATTATTATATTTGAACCAGTTTCCGTAGGACTTTAATGGTTTACTATGTTCAAGACCAAATACACTATCGTTATACCAAGTAAATCGTCTAATTTTATTTTTAACAAACGTCAAAAAAAAAAAAAACTACTCATTTTCTCAAACTTTGATATTTTTTTTAAAATTAAACTACTTGTCGTAAAGCCGTAATATTTCAGTAAGTTCTATAAGACCATGATATAATTATATCGCCAAAAAAAGTTCCATAAAAATCGGCTTCAATTTTTTTTCAACAGTTAATTACAAGAAAACGGCTCGATAGATTTTCTCCTAAAACTAATCAGTATCATTCCCAACTAATATCTTTCGAACAGTTTTTGATTTTTTAAAATCGGTTCGGTAGTATGAGCTTAAATGTGGACGAAAGGTTCAACACTTTTTTCCAAATTACAAAGAAACGGCTCGGCCGATCGTCGCACAAAACTGAGAAACGATAATCCTCAACTAGATACATCAAATGCTTTTTAAATATCTGAAATTGGTTCAGGAGTTTTTGAGCAAACATCGATGAAAGTTCTAATTTTGACAAATGCCAAAAGCCCATACTAATTTTTGCAAATTTTGATGAATTTTTAAAACTAAACCAGTTGTCGTAGGGCCGCAATATTTTAGTATGATCTAGAAGACTACGGTATCTACCGTCAAAAAAATAATCATAAAAATCGTCAAATTTTTTTTCTAAAAAACTATTACAAGAAAACGGCCCGGCCGATCTCTACCAAAAACTAATCAGCACGATTCCCAACCAATATCTTTCGAACGGTTTTTGAATTTTCAAAACCGATTCAGAATTGCGGGCTAAAACGTAGTCGAATTTTTTTTCACTTTTCTGCCATTTATAAAGAAACGGCTTGGCCGATCGTCGCACAAAACTGACAAACAATAGTCCTCATCGAGATACATCGAGTGGCTTTTAAATTTCTGAAATCGGCCCAACCGTTTTCGAGAAAACGTCGATTTACGGCAAAAAATCTGTTCACACACACACACACACATACTTTTTCCAAATTTAGTCTCATTAGAATCAGAATGTCTTGAAACGTCGAAAAAACATAAAATTAGCGTATCGGATTTTTTGATGAAAACATAAACTTCTCCTTCGGGAAGTTAATTATTTCATCTAAAACTCATCTCGCAAAATAGAGGAAAAGATCAAAAATTATTATTATTATTATTATTATTATTATTATTATTATTATTATTATTATTTATACATAACTCGCCTGCACGATGTTGAAGCAGAAGGTTGTTCCCGCTGTTGCCGACCAGGTGCTGGTTGTTCTGATGGATTTTTGGTCTTAAGTCGGCGTCGTCGAGCCACTTCTGGAAGGCGACTTCGCCCAGGCGCTGTTTCACCGCACGTTCCTCCTCCAGGCGGGCAAGTTCCAAAGCCCTTTGTGCCTTCTGACCTAAGGGGAAATAAGAAATTGTTATTAGTTGAACTTGTTCACTAATAGGGTTTATACAAAAACCGACACTTCAGAAAACCGGTTTTCGAACTTTAATTTTACTATAAAACCGCTTTTAGCCGGTTTTCGAATTTTATATAGAAAATAAATTTTTGCTCGAATATTATGTAATTTATTTGCAAATGTAGTATAATTTAGAGCAGTATTTGACTTATTTATTGTCAATTTTATAGATAGTAAACAAAATTATTTTAATTTTAATTAGTAGAACTAAAAAATAATAGTTTATCTTGATTAAATAACTTTGAAAATAATTATTCGTTATTCATGCATCATTTTCACATATAAGAATGAAAATATTTTTATGACAGTGAAAGAAATGTTTTCGAATAAATAAAAATAATACGTTTTTAAATAAAAAACATTCATTAAATTAAAAAAAAAATTAGATACATGTTGATACATACGTGTTAATATCAATTTTAGTTTTAAAAACAATTAAGCTAAACTAGGGTATTGCCTGTTCCGAGCAATTTTAATTAATTAATTTTAGACATTCTAATTGTTTTTTTTCTGTTTAATAAAATATGATTTCAAAAAAACTGAAAACGTCTATCGAATTGCTACTGAAATAGAGAATATACTGTCATACTTGCGACTAAGTTATGCATAATTGTTTTTAAAGCCTGAAATATTAATTCTAAGCTTTTTGTTCTTTTATTTGTGGCTTCTAGAGTTTAAAACTCTTTTTTTTAGTTTGAGTAGAGGAAGTTACTTCTTTAAGAAGAAGTCACACTGATTTAAATTACAATATACAGTGGTGTAAAAATCAAAATTAATATATACAAAATCTTTCTGGGGACCATTGCAGACTGATAAGATATCAAATGCTATTGAACCGATATGATTTTAAGAATCAAAACGCTTTCATCAATCTTTTAAATTTGGCTATATTTGTCATTTTCCATTTATACAGTAAAAACCGACTTTTTTCACTAAAAACCGGTTTTCGAATTCCATAATTTTCGCCAATAAACCGGTTTTTTGAAAACGGTTTTTGAAAACCGACAAACCCTAGTGTGAGCAAAAAATTATAACAAAGATAAAAAAAATTGAAGGAGTTAGCGAGATATTAAAAGAATGAGTGAGAAATTGAATTAAATAGTCGGGAAATTGTAAGAATGAGTGGGAAATTAAAAAAAAATGAGTGAAGAATTAAAAGAGTGATAGAGTAATTGCAAAAACAAAGGAGAAATTATAAATGATATTAATTAAAAATGAGCGAGAAACGAAAAAAATGAGCAATTGTAAGAATGAGTGAGAAATTAAAAATGATAGAAGATAAAAAATGAGTGAGAAATCGGAAGAATAAGTGAGAAATTTGATGACAAATTAAAAAATTGTAATAATGAGTAAGAAATTAGAACACTTAAGTAAAAAATTAGAAGAATAAATAAAAAATATGAAAATTTTACAAATTTAACAAATAGAATGAAAAAAAATTACAAATAGAATGATAAAGAGCAAGATAACAAAAATAGAGGGAAGTTAGCAAAATAAATAGATGGCAAAATAGATGTACAATATAGTACTTACGAGTGCAGAGTTTCTTAAACTATGGCTCGCAACCCCAAAAGTAGCATATAAAAATTCTGGGGTCGCGGGAGTTGCTAATGTCGAATATTTATCACGTCTAGGTTTTTGTATGTTTTACAACAGATTCTAAAACTATATATATATATTCATATGTATCTGTATATGTATATTGTTAACAAATAAATAAATCATCTAAAAATATTAATTTTTTTTTTATATGTATAGGGTAGTCAAAAAACTCGCAATCATAAATGGGGTCGTTGAGAAACTCGCTATCATAAATGAGGTCGCAAAGGTCAAAGTTTGAGAAGCCCTGATATAGTAAATAGTTAAGTAAAACGATATTTTTTTCGCCAAATACATAGGAAGAAAAAATCAAGTATGTAGGTATACCTAAAAATGTAAGTAAGTATAATAAAAAAAATTAAGTATGATTTCACTAACGTTTCTGTTCAAGTAACTTCTTTTCCTCCCACTGCCTGAGACGTCTCTCTGCTTCCTGCTCCACTTTAAGCTTCCTTTCCTGCTCCAACAGCCTCTCCTTCTCTCTCATTTCTTTCTGTCTCTCACGCTCGCGTGCTCTCTCTTCGTCTTTTGTGCGCAACCATTTTGCAAAACTCTCCCTAAGGAGAAAATAAAAAAAAATATCTTCAATTAAGGGGATATTCTAGTGTAGAACGATGAATTTTAGGTCATTTTTAAAGTGTCGTAAAAGAAAGCAATGAATGATTTTACTATTCATTTTTTTACCACTTGTTTATTAATATTATTAAAATACAAAACAAAAATTAAAAAATAAAAAAGTTGAAAATTGCAAAAGCTGGCAGCTGATGAAGTGAGTGATCTCAAAAAATTGGCACCTCAGTCTTGACACGATTTCAGCCCTCCTAACCATCGGAAATGCAAAAAATACAAAGATTATTAATCTACAATAATGTCGCAATCGCCCAACTAGCGACGAGTAAAAAAATTTTTTTTTTTACAAATTGGCTACTGTTTGAAAAAAAATGTGTTTTTTACTGTTTTTTTGAGTTTCTCGATTTTTTTAAAAGTAGAAAAAAATGGAATTTGGGGATGATCCTAGCTATAGATAGGTCTATAAACAAGACTCTCCGAACATTTCAAGTGAATCGGTCGAGTAAAACTCGAGAAATCGTGTCAACAGTACTGAGAAAGTCTATTCTGAAAAAAACGCATTTAAAGTTTTGCGTGAAGTCAAACTAGTATGAAGACCGAGTCAGTAAAATGTCTATATCTCTGAAAATAATTTAAATTTTCAAAAACCTTCTCGTACCCATATTCTTAGATAGTTAAACTTTGAAAATATGAAATAAAAAAAAAATCGATTTTTTTGAATTTCTACACTAGAATACCCCCTTAATGTTATCAAATAGTCAATTAAAGGGCATGGGAGTGTTTCCATACAGAATTTGCCCCATCCGGGTATTTAAATAATTTTCATGTCATTTTATAGATATTTTCGAGAAAATTCGAAATACCAAATTTCAAATCTGTAAGTCATCATTTGGCCGAGATATCAGTGAAAACATGTGAAAGTGGCCCCTTTTTTCAAACTCACTTTTTGTCGGGAATATGAGAGATATCGACAAACTGTTAACGACATTTTATTTATACTGATCTTGTTTATGTTGTTCATAACCAAATAATGTGCAAAAATTATTTGTTAGTGTGTGAAAAGGTGAAAATGATTTTTCATTTTCCATTTTCTACCAGTGCAGCTTGTTTGATTACTTTTATATTAGCATCATTCGAAAGCCTGTACATTTTTCTCTTATTATTCAGAAGCTTATACGGCGAATGAAAATAATCAATAATAATAATTGTCATTTTTATTCGGTTGGATTTTTTATTTTGACTAATGAATATACTTATAGTACAAGATATAAATAAATTTTGGTTTTTAATAAATATTTCCATACTTATATACATAATTCGTCGAGACGCGCGAAAACGACGAGCCTTATGCTTGCTCGTCGCTCTTGCAAAGCGACTTCATATGGGTGTTCTTGTACCGGCAGCGCGTGTACTAGTTTAATTTTTTCAAACTTTTCACCCAAAGTTCCACTCACATTTAAATGAATTTTTGAATAACAGAAGAAAAATGTACAGGCTTTCGAATGATGCTAATATAAAAATAGTCTGAAGAGCCGCACGGGTAGAAAATGGAAAATGAAAAATCATTTTCACCTTTTCACGCAATAACAAATAATTTTTTCACATTATTTGTTATCAGTACAAATAGAATGACGTCAACAGTTTTTCGATATCTCTCATATTTCCTACAAAAAGTGAGTTTGAAAAAAGGGGCCACTTCCACATGTTTTCACTGATATCTCGGCCAAATGATGAGCTACGGATTTGAAATTTGGTACACTGGGGCCTCGCTTTACGGCCTAGATACGTTCCGCAAAACTTGGCCGTAAAGCAAAAAGCCGTATAACGAATCAATTATTCTAATACGTATTCATACAAATTCAATGGGATCGGTTCCAAATTTAATAAATATATAATATGGTTTCATTCAAAATGCATTTTATTTTTTTTATTTTGTTTAAATTATAAACATATCTAACAAGAACATAAATTTTACATAAATAAAAAACTTCAAAAACATTACATAATTTTCAAATAAAAATGAAACAATTAAAACCTACAGATCACTGTCACCATCATTTTGCGCTGGTGGGTTGAAAAATTTGTCTTGTTTGTTTTGCCTTCTTGTCTATTTTTTCCTTTAGTGATTTATAACAGTTAATGGCTGAGTTAATTCCTCGATAAACATAAGCGCTACGTTCGATGTCAGGATCGTTTTCAAGGAAGATGTTTATACCTTGTTCAAAATATGAAAAAGCGCTCGACATGATTTTTGATGTTAGCTGTTTGGATACAACAGGTTCTGTATCTTCATCAATTGCCGGCTCTGCTTGCAACTGAATGAGTTCCTCATATGAAAGGGGTTTCCTATCAGTTGCAAGTAGATCCAGCACATCAGATTCGTTTAAATTAAATCTTCAAAACCGAGATTGCGCAATATATCGACATAGAGAAAAAAGCCGTTATAGCGAAACATTTTAGGCCGTATATCGAAAACGTACCTTAATTAAAGAGGGTCGTTATAGCGAAAGGCCGTATAAAGAGCGGCCGTATAGCGAGGCCTGGGTGTATTTCGAATTTTCTCGAAAATACCTATAAAATGGCATTAAAATTATTTAAAGACCAGAGTGAGGCCAATTCTGTATGGAAACACGCCCATACCCTTTGTGATAAACTCTTTACCTTCTTAGATCGTTCAGTTGTTGCTCCGAGCTCTCCTTCTGTTGCTGCAGCATTTGTTGTTTCTGACGCTCCAGTTGTTTCTCAAGAATCCTCTTTTGTTCCTTTTTGCGCAACCTAAAAACACAACATTTTACCAGTATCCTATCAATCAACCATCATTTATCTCACCATTCTTCATAATGTTCATTAGGATGATCCAGACGTCCAGTTTCTGCACACACACCAGCTTTACCAGCAGCAGCATCCTTTAAGCCGTCTCCCAATTTGCGAAGGGATATCGATTGAAGATTGGAGCCAGATGTTTTGCTCTTGTCATCGGATTTATTTGAAGGTGGCGAAGAATGCTGTTTTTGTTGCTGTTTCTGCTGCTGCTGCTGCTGTTGCTGTTGCAATTTTGCTGCACGTTGCGCAGCCAACAGGGCCGGGGTATGGAGGACTACTGGTTTTATAGACTAAAAATGGTAATAGACAAATGTATGAAATCAAGTATGCAGTTAAAGAAATGTGCATTGCACAGAATCCTATGTAACTTTATTAACTTACACGTAGCATAAGTTATAGTTATAGCAAATGTGATTTTTTTTGGTATGCTTTATAATTAGAGAAGAAGATGGCTGCTGATTAGTTTTTGGGAAAGGCAGAACCATCGGTTTCGGAGATACGAAAAAAAGTACAATAAATGTCAAATTCCAAAGAAAGATCCAAAAACATTATACTTTAAAATTGACTACATTTTTGCTAAGAAGGACCATTAGGTGGTCCAAAAAGATTATTACAAGTAATTAATTATTGATTCCAATACAAATATGGATTCTTGGTAGACAGGTAAACAGTTAGACAAAGAAAGATATATAGATAGATAAGTAGAAAGAGAGAGGAAAGAAAAGATGAAAAGAGACATATAGGCAAAGAAAAAAAGAGGCAAATAGATCCAGCCGTTTCGGAGAAACAGAAAAAGCGCAAATAATGTAAAATTATGTTTTGAGAGACTGATTCTTTTAACCAGAATGATCAATGAACATTTTACTTTAGAATTGACTACATTTTTGCTAAGGTAGGTTCTGCGGTGATCCAAAAAAATATTACAAATCGTTATTATTAATTTTTAAAACAGATAGACAAAGAAAGATATATAGATAGACAGAGATAGATAAAGAGAAAGATGAGAGGAGAGATGAGAAGAGACAGGTAAGCAAAAACAAAAAGAGACAAATAGATAAAGAAAAATAGAGAAAATGAAAGATAAATAAGCAATAAGGATAAACACATAGACAAATGTGCCAGATAGATCATATACAAATCAAGTTATTATTCATCAAATTGATATAAACTAGTGGGGCACATGACATCGTGCCTTAAAGCAAATCGCTGGAACTTCCCCTACCAAAAATTATTATTTTTTTAAAGATTAACATTTTTGAAAAAACTTCACTTTGAAAATATTAGATTTTTGAAAAACTATAAATTTTTGACAAAAATTTACGTTTATGAAAAAAAAAGACTTTGAAAAAAATATTTTCTTTATTATAAAATATTTTGTAAATTCTGAACTTTTTTTTTCAAAGTAATCGTACTTCTTTAACTGCATAGAGAAAATATCTAAGCGCGTAAGCGCCGCGTCGCCGTCTAACGGATAAACATTGGTACGGAACCCATAGGAATATTGTTAAAAACTCTATAAAATATCTGATAATTTGGTGTGCATATGTTTAATGATCATTTTTGACCGCCAAATGGCATTTTTTTTTTACTTTTTTTACTAGATCTCCGAAACCGCTAGACCTGCCTTTATGAAAACTTGATCAATTCTTCATCTTTTCAATACAAGTAAAATGTTTTTTGAATTATTAAAATCGGACGCTCCGTTCTCTTAAAAAACTGAGTTACCGTTTTTAGCACTTTTTGCCCCGTATCTTCGGAACGGCTAGACCTGCCTTCACCAAAAACTAATCAGCACGTCTCCTTATCAATACGAATCGAATGTTTTTTAAATAATTCGAATCGGTTGAACCGTGTTCCCGAAATCGTAAACGAAAATTTGTATCCGAACAAACACATAACACACGCACACACACATACATCCATTTTTCTAAGGTATGCCAAAATGTTCAGAAACCTCTGAAACGTAAAGATATATAAAAATTTTCGTTTTCGATTTTTTTGCGATTACTATAACATTCCCTATGGGAAGTTAAAAAGTTCATGCAAATTGCTTTAAAGCCACTTACACCTAGTTTTGTTTATAAATTCGAAATTTGTCTTTATCTCATCGAGACCTTTTAAACGAGTACCCACATGCCATATTTGACGTGACAATGTTAAAAGTTGTATTGACCCGCTGTACTATATTTAGTTCACCAACTCGTTTGCGTACTTATTTATTAGAATTCTTGTAACTCCTAATCCGTTGGTCGAATTTAAATGCAATATTCAACAAATTCGTACAAAATTAAATAAATTATTATACAGTCTAAAGTCATTTTACCTACAGCAACTCGGTATATTATATTTTAAAAATCATTAAAAACAAATTTTTCCGAAAAATCATCGATATTTTGGTATATGAGTGCATTTTATCGCTAATAATGAATTTTTTTTCTAATTACCTTGGTGGTTCTGCTGTGTCCTTTGCAAGTAACATCACTTATCCCAATTCCTGGTCGTTTATTCTTTTGGGAAAATTTTGGATTTGCTAAAACCGTCTTTTTGTCAAAACTGTCGCTGGAGCAGTTCGAGGAGAACAAATCTGTTGGTTGCGTTTGAGGTTGATCTAACTAAAAAAAATTAAAAAAAAATAGATAAACAAAATAATTATTAGTAAATATTATTTGCAATAGATTTTGTACCTCTTGGTCAAAATTATTCAAAGGCGTCGCCACTGAAATATCAGCCAGCGGTTCAAATTCCATGAGAGTTTCGAAATCCAAAGTTTTCATTTGAGGTTTGACACTGATAAAAAATAACATTAATAACAGTAATCATTTAACATTTTAATATAATTTACTGTGAATAATTACTTTGGTTCTTCCTGTTCAGTGACGTCACAACACAATGATTTTTTGGAGGGGCAATGAAGCACTTTCTTAAATTCATCTTCACTTTCTTGCAACTTAGTGATGGCTAAAACATTCAAAATTAACAAAATAAAGTATTTCATTTTTAATTTTAATAATTTATCGACTTACCTTGTTCTTTCTCCAACTGCACCAGCATCCTTATATCCAAGGGTTGAATTGACGAATTCATTTCAAAGTTTCAAAATTTATTTAACATTCACAAACTACAAACCACATCACATCATCCTGTTCACTAAATTCACCACTGTTCAAAATCGCTTTCCATATAAAATGCTGGTTTTAAAAAAACACCACAAATTTTACAAAAAAATTAAAAATAAGTATTTTAAAACGTCCGAAATCGATAACTTTGTATACCCCTCGAAAAATGTAAAATTTTGGACCCCTGGCCAAAAATTTTAGGAATTTATTTTGACATTTGGTTGTTTTGTTTTGGGGAAAAATAGATGGTAAAAATAATTTTATATTATACTATTTGATTTGGTTAAAAGGGTAAGGTGAGAAAAAAGGATAGGGCTATATATTATCACTGAGAAAGAAAGAGTAAGATACATGGGTAAAGACACCTGAGACATCACTTGTGATTTTAAAATTTACTTCAAAATTTCATTTATTTAATTGTTTAAATGAATAAATAAGAATTCTTATAAGTCCATAGCATAATTTTAAAAAAATGTATTATTATTATTATTATTATTATTTATAAATATACAAAACTCTTAATCCATCTACATAATAAAATATATAAATATATTTATAAACTGGATTCTAAATACGTATCATAATTATCCTAATATATTTGTTTGACAAATTTTTGACTTGTTTGACAAGTGTAAAAATTTTGTTTAATACACAAATTGCACAATTTGGAAATGACCTTAAATTTAATTATATACATGTATAAAAATACTAAATACTAATTATATAGTCTAACTATATTATATTAGGTACACGTAGCATTTTTAAAAAAAAATTGCAACTTTTTTTTTTGGCAAGATATAAATTTTTTAGTGTGAATTTGGTATTTTTAGAAAGTCTAAATATATTTAAATAATATTTAATATTAACCCGTATTAACCCTCAACAATTTTTTAATTTGAAACTGAAACTAATTTTCTTATAGTGTCCATAATTTTATAATAATAAAATTAAAATTAAGAAAATAATATTAATTAAATAAATTAATAGTTTGACTAATTACTACAAAGTCTGGTGAAAGAAAGAGATGAAAATACGTTATTTTCAAGCGAGTGAGCGAGATAACAATATCATTGCCTTCGCTCACGTTTTAAAAGAAATTCCAATTTATGTTTGTTTTAAATTATTTCCATAAAATATTATAAAAAAGTCTGAAAATTTAATTGTAACGATAAAGTGCTGAAAGAATTTTAATAAATAAAATTAAATTAAAAAAGTGTAGCCTTTGCAAGGTAAATTAGACAAATAGTCTATTACTACAAGTCACCCTCAACTTTTTTTTAATTTAAAACTGAAACTAATTTTCTTGTAAATAGTGTCCATAATTTTATAATAATAATATTAAAATGCAGAAAATAATATTAATTAAAAAAAATAGTTTGAGCATGGTGAAAGGAAGAGACAAAAATATGTTTTTCAAGCGAGTGAACGAGATAACAATATCATTGCCTTCGCTCACGTTTTTAAATAAATTCCAATTTATTTTAATTTATTATTGCTATAAAATATTATAAAATGTTTAAAATTTTAATAGTGTTAAAAAAATGCTGAAAGAATTTTAATAAATAAAATTAAATTAAAAGAGTGTAAAGTAAAATTAGACAAATAGAAACTATAAACAAAGTCTGAAATTTTAATTGTAATGAAATAAAAATGCAGGAAAAAATATAATTAAAATTAAATTAAAAGTAAATTGGACAAATAGACGATTACTACAAAGTCTGGAGAAAGAAAGAGATGAACATATGTTTTTTCAAGCGAGTGAGCGAGATAACGATATCATTGCCTTCGCTCACATTTTTAAATAAATTGTAATTTATGTTTGTTTTAAATTATTTCTAATAAACAAAGTCTAAAATTTTAATTTTGATTAAAAATGCAGGAAAAAATATATTTGAAATTAAATTAAAATTAAATTTGAAAAAAATGACGATTACTACAAAGTCTGGTGAAAGAAAGAGATGAAAATACATTATATTCAAGTGAGCAAGCGAGATAACGATATCATTGCCTTCTCTCGTGTTTTTAAAAAAATTCTAATTCATGTTTATTTTAAATTATTTCTATAAAATATTATAAAAAAAGTCTGAAAATTTAATTTTAATGAAATAAAAATGCACGAAAAATTATAATTGGAATTAAATTAAAAGTAAATTGGACAAAAAACCCGTTTACTACAAAGTCTGGTGAAAGAAAGAGATAAAAATACGTTATTTTCAAGCGAGTGAGCGAGACAACAATATCATTGCATTCGCTCACGTTCTTAAAGAAATTTTAATTTGTTTGTTTTAAATTATTTCTATAAAATATTAATTTAAGTTCATAATTATTATATTATTTTATGTCCAAAAATAAAATCAATTCAAGTAAAAAAATCAGACTTTGTACTTTATATAGTACAGTGGGCTAATACGGGTTAAATCCGATTAAAGCAGTTGCTCAATAAAAGTTTAAATAAAATAGTTATTGCAGTTAAAAAAACTATATAAATCATATATACTCAAAAAATATTGCATTGTTATTTTACCTCATAATTTTGTTTCTTTTCTGTTACGTTCGCGTTACGTACTTGTTTCATTCTTAATATTAACATCCTCGTTTATTATAAATTGAGTATGTTCGAGTAAATATTCTTCAAAAGTCACATTTATCTAAATCATCGCAGGACTTTGATATTCTGGACCTGGAATGTAAAATTGTATTAATATCTTATAATATTTTTATAACAATTTTAATTTTAGGGTAGTTATAGTAATGGGCCAAAAATCGAAAATAAAAAATTTTGCATTTCTCGACGTTTTGGAGGTTTCTGAACATTTTTAAAGAACATACCTTAGAAACTAAATGAATGTGTGTGTGTGTTTTGTATGCCCGCATGTTTTTGTAAATTCAAAAAATTACCCAGGCTAAGCACAGTCTAAGCGCCACTCTGGTACAAATGTTTACTCAAGTGCGTTTAGACTGTTTATGTATTGGTGCACTTTTTCAATTTTAGGAAAACTATTGAAAAATGTGAAAATGCCGCCAAGCTAAGCACAGTATAAGTGAAAATGTCGCACAGAATTATTTGCAAATGCGTTTAGACTGTGACTATACGGGAGCACTTTTTAAATTTTGTATAAAGGCAACTATTTTTTTTTGAAATTGAATTCGAAATGAAATGACGATTGTTAATGTTCTGAAGATAAATTGATTTATGATTTACATTTCATTTGCTCAGATATAACAAACAAGATAGCAAAAATAATGAATGTATTTGTAATAATATATTTGAGAACGTTTAAAATTTCTCGAATATTTTATTACGGTACGGGAAGTTCCAGCAATTTGCCTGGACAATGCCATATACCACTAGTAGTTTTATTTTTATATGAATGTGAAAAGTAAAAGCATGAACCAATGAAAGAATTATTTTTGCCCACTCATATCAATTAAACTACTATGAAAGCATTATACGTGGTCTGTTCAAAAAGTACCCGGAATTTTCGTTTTTTCAAAAAAATATTTATTTATTCGTCTACATTAATGTGGTCCCCTTCAAAGTAGTCCCCCCCAGATATAATACACTTATGCCAGCGTTTTTTCCAATTTTCGAAGCACCCTTGATATTCACTTTTTGATATGTCCTTGAGCACTCTCGGCGATTTTCTTCAATCGAGGAAAACCGCCGTCCTTTCATGGGTCTCTTCAACTTTGGGAATAGGAAAAAGTCACACGGAGCCATATCTGGTGAATTTTTGCACTTTGCAACACTTTATTTCATTTTTTACGCAAAATTTAATACAAATTCTTTGACTTTTTCAATTCTTCCATTGTAAAAATCGCCGAGCTCAGAAAAACACGTCGAACCTTAGCGACTACCACAGACAAAGTAAACAGTGAATATAGCTGAAAATTTCATCATACTTTAGGGGCATGTATACCAACACAATAAAAAATTTTGACAATCAGACACTCCAGACCCGCGAAATTTAATTATTAGTAATTCCGGGTACTTTTTGAACAGACCACGTAAATAAATGGATTACACAAAAATATATTAAGCTATAAAAATACTTGTAATATGCTTACCCATAGTGTTAAAAATTGGTAGTAATCGCCGAATACAACCTCTTAGCCCTTTTAATATATCCTCCACTGCCTGTCTTCGATACCTCTTCGATATCTCGACACATATCAAAATCACCATCAACATCATCATCCTCTTGACCAATACCAGCATGATAAGCATTATCAGCAAAACCAAAACCATTATCTTTATTACTATCAATAACATAAGTTCCACGATTGGAACCAACATCAGGTATCGATAAATCTGTCATATCGCTATCACTATAATCACCTTCACCGGGTGATATAATGTAAGTACTACTTCTACTCAAAGCATTAGTATTATTAGCATGATCGTAACCGACACCATGATTTGTATGATTTGTAAAATTTGTAAAATCACATCGGGAGCACCTGTTGGATGCTGTTGGAAGTTCTGTCGGGGGTGCTGTGCCTCTTCGGAGAACCCTGAGGGTGACAGTACCTGTTCGGACTTTGGCAAAAACTGCAGTTGCTTGGGTCCTGGTGAGGCCACTTAAGGGTACTGTGTTAACTGACAGGATTTCATCACCTGAAATAAAAATCCATGTATTATACTGCAAAATAAAAATTCAGGTAATAGCACGTTTAGACTAGGGAATTCAATACCGGTATACTGGTATACCGAATTACCGGTAAACCGCCCGATTTTTCGGCGGTATTTACAAAAATTTTACCGGTATTTTCGGTATTTTTATATAAGCGTTATCTGATACATAATACCCTAAAGTTTAAATTTCTCGGAATAAATTTATTTTTAAATTCCATAATCGCATAAACAGCTATATCTTCAACTGATTCTATAAGATAAACAAATGTCAAATATTATCTCAACTCGTCATTAAACTGAATATTTATTGCTTTCCAAAGGGCTTCATATCGTGTTACAATAAATATAATTGGGCTGATAGATAATGATGTATGTTTCATGTTTTGTAAAAATGTAACGGTTTTTTAAGTGATATTTGCGCCAAAATATTTTATATCATACAGATTACCCCCTGCGTAATCTTTATTAACTTCCCGTAGGGTAAGTTATTGTAATGGGCCGAAAATCGAAATTGAAAATTTTTACATTTCTCGACGTTTTGAAGGTTTCTGAACATTTTGGCATACCTCAGAAAAAATGGATGTGTGTGTGTGTGTGTGTGTATGTATGTATGGATACAAATTTCCAGTCACGTTTTCGGGCGCACGGATCAACCAATTTGAATGGTTCAAAAAACATTCGATTCCTATCGATAGGGAGAAGAAGAGCTGATTAGTTTTTGACAAAGGCAGGTCCAGCCGTTACGGAGATACGGAGCAAAGAGTGCAGAAAATAGAAATCGAGCTTTTGAGTGAACGGAGCATCCGATTTAAATGATCTAAAAAACATTCAATTAGTAATGATTGGGAGAAGTGAAGCCCAGCCATTTCAAAGATACAGAGCTAAATGTGCAAAAAATGGCAGTTTTTGAGAAAACTAAGCGTCCAATTTAAAGTTCTAATATACTTTGAACAAATAATTTCAACTTTGCAATTCAGTTTATATAATTCTTATAAATATTAGAATATTAATAATAATCAATCAAATAGTTACAATATTAATAATAATCTATTTGAAAACATTCAGTATTCCTCGAACATTTCGTTACGGTACGAGAAGTTCCAGCAATTTGCCTTAAGACACGATGCCATACACCCCACTAGTTTTTTTTTTCTAATTTTATACATAATAATTATGATAATTACTAAATATTTTTGCTTCTTACTACACTTATAAAATATTATTTTTCGAAAACGTTTCGAAGTTTGAAAATACTATAGAAGCACCACATTGTTTTAAATAACAATACTCAACAAGTATAGTAACTTATTATTTATCTCGACAAAGTATCCGATCTTAAATTAGTGTAGAAAAATTATTTTTTTTAAATATTGGAGATTATGCTAATTTAACACATCGGATACAGACAATACAGTTTATTATAATAATGTAATATGATCTTTTATGAGTTTTTGGTCTTCCTTACTCATACATTTGTTTTTGGTGAAAAGTACTCAATATACTCGATAGTGATAATGAATTAATTAAATTGGATATAATTTTGTTCAATTATTGTTTAAAAAAATAAACTCATTATTTTATTTTATTGTTTAGTTGAATATAGTTGTAGTTGTATATACTTTTCTTTTATATTTGTCCTAGTAACTTTCAATTTTGTTCACGTTTGTTTAAGATAATAAAAATACCGGTAATTTACCGGTATACCGGTTTTAAAATGAAAAATTACCGAAATACCGGTATTAAAATTTTCCATCGGTATTGCATTCCCTAGTTTAGACTGCAAATTGTAAATAAATTTTCCTTATTACCTGTTCTGAGACATCCCTGTTTCTCGGCCTGTCCTCCTGGTAAAACAGTCTTGACATAAATCCCCATAGAGCCCTTCGGCGAATCAGAACCTCCTGCAATGGTGAAGCCTAAGGAAGGTCTTCCTGCTCCTTTTACAAACTGAACCCTCAACAATTCTGCGGGCCTAGAAATGACTTTAGGAACAGGTTCCTGGAGCCTCTGATCATATTTGGATGATCTATCAGCTAATCCTGATGATCCTGATCCTTGTTTGTTAATTCCCACATCGCAATGTTCAGGTATACTTTGGAAACTTCCAAAGATTTTGTTACCCTGGATGTTCCTGCTGTGTATTTTTCTTAATTGGTCTTTGGGTTTGTTATCAGATTCTTGGTTGGTCCAGGATAGTCTGTCCTGGTCTTTATTTGTTGTTGGAGTATTTTGGTTTGATGTTTCGCGACTGCAAAGTTCACATGGAAAAAACAAGAAACATTGATGTGTTAGTTACATACATGAAGGGTTAGGACATGTTTGGGGACAGTTAGTCAAAAAAATGTTAAGGCACAACATGTAACATAGATACATACAAACACATATAAATACATACTACTTGGACAGCGTCTACGATTGATCGATAGTGGTGTTTTGTGATAGTAGATTATTGGACAGAATATTTTAGGACAATTATATATAATTGGTAGCCAAAATTTAGTTACCATGATGAAGCCAATATTTACTTACAATAATGCAGCCAAAATAACACAAAAAATTACCAAGTCACCGAAACAAATATTTAAACGCATTGATTGAGAAATCTCCTACTGAAAGATTAACAAAAAAAATGGCCATACGATGTTAAATTATTAGAAAATAAAAAAAGAGATAATTAATTTGAGATACACTCTATAAAGGTATTAAGACCAGCATATTGTCTTAAAAAATAACATACATTTTGATAGGCAATAGATATATGCAAAAAATAATAAAAAATAATAGCCAATATTTAGTTTCTACTGAAACTGTTACTTATTTTATTATAAATAAATATTGTTTTTATTATTTCCAACTAACTTTCTAATGCCAAATTGCAGTCCAAGCAGTATTACACATACAACACGTTTTTCGCAAAACACTCTTGCTTTTACTAACTTTTTGTTTTATTTAAATTATGGCAGAAATTAATATTACAAATGATAAAACTACTTAAATTGATTCAGGAAAGTCATGGCAAATATATAGAAATACTAAAAATATTAGGTTTATGTTACGTAACTAATACATAGAACGGAAAATATTAAGTTTCTATTATGTAACTAATATATAAAAATACGAAAAATATTAAGTTTATGTTACGTAACTAATATATAGAAATACAAAAAATATTAAGTTTATGTTGCGTAACTAACACATAGAACGGAAAATATTAAGTTTATGTTAAGTAACTAATATATAGAAATACGAAAAATATTAAGTTTATGTTACGTAACTAATATATAGAAATACGAAAACTATTAAGTTTATGTTACGTAACTAATATATAGAAATACGAAAATATGAAGTCCATGTTACGTAACTAATATATTGAAATATAAAAAATATTAAGTCTATGTTACGTAACTAATATATAAAAATACGAAAAATATTAAGTTTATTTATTTATGAAACTAATAAATATTTATTTATTTATTTTTACGTAATTTATTATTACGTAACTAATAAAGTTTATGAAATTAAAAAAATTTAATGTTCGAAATTCAATTTGCCGATCTTAGGCCAATATTGGTAGCCAATATTTAGATACGATTTTGTGTACTTGAAAATTGTTTTAAAAATAAACGACGTAATAAATATTGCTAATGCTATTTGCAAGAAAAATTAGTATTACCATTGATGAAACTACTTAACATTAATAGAACAAACTCTTGAGCAAATATATATAGAGATACGTTTATGTTACGTAACATAAACAAATGGTTTTACGTCTAAATAAACTTATATATATATATATATATATATATACACGTTAAAATCACCATATGTTGCAAAAAAGTTACATTTCAAGTAAAACTAATATTTCATTTTTTTTAACGTAAATAATATAACAAAAAACTAACATTAATAATTATAACAAAAATACCAAACTTTCTATTAATTAACTATTAACAACAAAAAAAGTATTATTTATATTAAACGTATTGAAAACATTTAAAATAAATTGGATAATTATATAATTATTTATTTAATAAATGGCAATAAATCAATGGCAAGTAGAGTTACTTATGAATAACGTTAAAATCCCAATTTTATTTTTGTGTCAACACTGGCACACAGATCATAATTTTTTAAAATTAACTAATTCATTCGTTTTGCCCATATATACGTATCTTTACGTAACAGATGTTTTGTAAAATATTCGTTCTTGTTACATAACAAACGAAACTAATGTAACATTTATGTAATCTTCATAACTTACTGTTAAATTTTGAGTAATAAAATATATATTCAATGTAATTAACAATATGGCTTTTTTTTAATTTAATTAATAACAATACTAGATGTCAAATAAAATACTAATTTTTTTATATCGCTAATATATATATATATATATATATATATATTATATATATATATATATATTAATATATTAATATAGCTAATTAATTGAAATTTAAAAATAATTTTAAATATATTAAAATAGATAAACAGTATAACATGTAATCAAGATAATCGATAATAATACTAATTTCCTAAAATGTTGAAATAAAAAAATAACGGTCAACAACTATCAAAAATAGTTTTTCAATTTCTGTTACATATTTATAACGTTTCTGTTATATAACTTAATAAGTAATTAGTCATTATAACTTATAACGTAGTTTTAGTAAAATTATGTAAGAAATTTGAAAAAGGCTTTAATAAAATATTATCCTTAATAGAATCTTTAAGAAACTTTAAATAAATTTTTAATTATGCCACAAATGGGTCTTAAAGAGGTTTGTTTCGTAACTGTAACGTTTCTGTTGCATTTTATGTAAACTAGTGTACACAGGCAACCGAGCCATAAAATTTTATGGTATAAAAATGTAAAAAAACAAAAATTATATATAATTATTCCCTCGGTAGCATTTGATTCTTTGATCGATACCATCTCTTTCCAGGCAACTTTCTATAATCTTTGATACGATTACCTCTCTTATTAGAATAAATATATTTGTCATAAGAAAATTTACTTTTAACAATTGGTTTGAAGAACCAAGTTCATTTGCAAAATTGCAGTCAAATTTTTAACGTACGACGGTTTAGGGTCGTTGACTCTTTTAATAGACTTAGATTGTATCACAGGTTTAGGGGAATTTGTTAAAGATTTGGTATTAGGTGTTATTTGGTTATCATCGAACGGACTACAAGATGTTATTGTTGGTTCTTCCAACGTCATTGGTTCATCATTCTGATTTAAAAAACTGGTGCAATACATCACCAGAAACACTATTCCTATTTTTTTATTATCATTTACATAAATGTCGTGCATAAAAGAGAAATCTTTATCG